GAGAGAACAGTTGCTACATGCTATATGGAATCATATATTCCATAGCTCCTAGAATCTGAAGTTAAGATCCAAAACACATCCTTTAAACCTAATAAGCAAGTAATATGCACTATATTAGTAAAAATGTGGTAAATGACCAAATAATTAGAGACTAAATATATTATTTTCAGTACAGAGGCATCATATCATTTTTACTTAATGCTAAGTGATTTTTTTAATGTAACTTTTTTTTTTAAACACACCCACCTATGTATGAAAGTTAACTTCTAATAAACAACTTAAAAGAAAACAGTAATTTTCCATCTAGGATTACTATTGTTGTTTTTTAGAGATAATCAGAAAAAGTAATGTATTAATATACAGATATAATTTGCCTTAGAGAGGTGTTTAATAAGGATGAGAGTGTATAGGGGAATGCAGCTTTTTTTTTCCCCTCAGGGAAAAAATAGGCTAACATTTTCTACTAGTAAAGATGGATTAGAATTTATACATATGTGTATGCATAAAGAATACATATGCATATGTAATTTGGGCTCTATAACTAGAAACAATCTAAAAATGAAAGAAAAACTACTTCTTAAATTTGGTGTTTTTAAAAATGGTTTTTGTGTCTCAAGGAACTCCAGGTGTCTATAAGTACCAAAAAAGTTTTCACACATATTATATACAGGCTTTGGAGTGAAATAAATGACTAGTCTATTTTTTGCACCATTTTGAATTCTACTGTTCACTAAGTTTTAAGAATAAAACCCCACTATATGTGGAATTTATACTCCAGAGAAGTGAATTTGTAACATAATTTGCACTCACATAATTTTTTTTTGGTCCCACGTTTTCTACGCTATTATTTCTTTTTAAAATGCAAAAGTCAGATGGTCTCGTTTTGGGCTATTTTAAATTTTCTAACAGTGAAGAATCTAATAGCCACTTAGGAACTTTAACTGTTAAAAATGCTTATACATTTTACAATGAATAAATAATGCTTACTTATGAATTGCTACTAAAAGTAGGTACACTTCTGACCAAGATGGATAATGTGGTTCTGCCTCCCTATAGTTTAGAGACTTTCTGGGTCACATATTTCCCACTATCTTTCCTCATTTTTCTTCACTGTTCTTTTCTCTCCTTCCACCTACGAGGTTATTACTACCTGCAATTCCAACAACAAAATGCCCCACATCATCAAGCAAAAGTGCTTTCAAATTTTATTTATCTACTTTTTAATGTAACGTAAGCAGTACAAGCCCAGGCTATATGAGTCGATGAAAGGTACTGCTACAGTGCAGTCTAAGGACGACCTGCAGTAGGTCTCTGGGGCAATCCAGGCGTTTCCATTTTTACCCAGTGGTCCATGTGACTCCTGTGTACATTAAAGACTGAGAACTAGTATCTCTTCCTCCCACACACTCCGCGGCATACAGAAAAGAAACATATTAAGATCATATTCATATTTTCTAAAAAGCATAATAAATTATTTAAAGGAGAAAGATCAAAACCAGTTTTTCTCAGTGATAAAATACTGGCACTGAAGCTACTGGTAAATTAACTTTCAAAGGAAAATTATGGCTTTGCCTAGGTATACCCATCAAATTGATCAGCAGGGAATAATATAGACACGCAATACATAGTGTAACAGGGATTTCTCTCCTTTCATATTCTATATATTATGTTAAACTAGTTTTTTGTTTAACAAAAGTTCTACTAAATATAGGCTGTTTGTATATAGTAAAATATGATGGTTCAAATAAAATGGCTAGCAGATAATGTAAGACCAGATCACAAAAGCTGTATGGTTATGTTGACCCCGTTTACTTTTTTATATCTTTTTTTTTTTTTTTCCTAATATGTCTTCATTGATTTCAGAGAGAGGAAAGGAGAGGGAGAGAGAGATAGAAACATCAATGATGAGAGAGTCATTGATCAGCCGCCTCCTGCACTCCCCCAACTGGGGATCGAGCCCTCAACCCGGGCATGTGCCCTGACCAAGAATCGAACCCCAATCTCCTGGATCCTAGGTTGACATTCAACCGCTGAGCCACACCTGGCTGGTCACTTTTTTATATCTTATATTGAGAGCATTTTGAAGTTAAGTGCTGTCTTTTTTCTAATGCCTAGAACACAGTGGAGGCATTTGTTCAGTACATGTTTGTTGAACAGATGAAAAATGAAGTTGGAAATACATTAAAACAAAATTACCTCAGAAATTTTTTAAAAATATAATATTTCACTACATGTAGCTATAAAAGAAGAAAAATAACAGAAAATAATTCTTTAAAAATAAATAACAAATAGTCATCCTGGACCTAAGTTAGTTAGCCAAATACCCAGAAGGTTTAAATAAGTTTTTGCATTTTTATATGAGCTAACCCCAGACATATTTCCAGAACTGTGCAAAGCAGCTATTTCTAACATGTCTGTCAGAAAGAGAAATTGATATTCCACGGTGCTGATGAACCAGTCAGTGTTTAAGGTGCTGATTTATTAGTTGAAAAAAATTCATTTGAGGAAATAAAGATTAGAAAAATTTGAAGGGGGAAAAAAAAAGAACCCAACAGGTTTCTGTTTAACTGTATTCACTAGACCAACCCTGTAAATTTGAAACCAGCTACAAATTAACATTCATGCTGTCAATAATTGCACGCTGGGTGTGTACATTTAAAATAGTGATTTCAAACTTTATTTCATCAAGACAAGGAATAAAATGATATTGACTAATTAGTGCATGACTGTCATACACAGGAAAGGCTAGGCGAATACTGTGCTCATTTTCAGTGAGTATAAGCACAGTGCTCAAATGTTTTATTTGAAGGACTGATTATAAATCAAAAAATTAAATGACAAAGGAAATTAATAATGTTCAACACAGAAAATTTGGTACATGATTTGTCCTCCTAGAGTCTCTTAGATATGAATTTCCCTTAAGAAAGAAATAACCTTTTATGTTTTAGAAAAATAACTTAGAAAATAAGTTATTAAATAATACAATAACATAACCTATACTCTGAACATAATCACAAACATTACTGAATACCAATGGTGAGTTTTCAGTTTTCCTCCCATTATCTGCAAGATATCTTCATCTAATATGAAACCCTTTTTATTTACTTTCACTGTTACTTGCTAAGAGCTCATTATGATCCTCACACTAATAGCAAAACAATAATAATAACAGTAATCATAACACGCTGCCCTTAAAAGTAAAAGAAATAGTTAAATGTTCTACTTAGGTTGTTCAAGCTGTATTTATCTACCTATAATCATGAGTTAGAAAGAACTTAAAACTCATCCATACTTTGAGAGGCATAATGATGCATAAGCAACAAACTGGGACAAACTGGAGTGAAATATCTGGACATGAACCTTTAATACAGGGTTTCTCAGAGGTAACATGGCAAAAGTGTGTTATTTGTAGTTTATTGAAACATGGCAGTCACTGAAGCTCACAAACACAATCTGCCAAACAGAAACCTCCATGCAAACTCGTGACATCGTCTCTCAATTGCTCTGCAAAGTCTGTTCTAAATCTTAATTTCTAAAGTTTTATCATGACCTCAATTCCACTAATGCATTTCATAATAGTCAAGTAAAAAAGTGGTCTCTGGAATAATTCTTAGCAAATAGAATGCAACCACGTTCTTGGGGTCTATTTTAAATTGTAATTGAATATGCATTAGCCTACGATCGAAACTGCACAGATGTGCCATTTCCTTTACCTGGAATTCTCATTGCACATGTGGCTATAGATTAGAAAAATCACATGTAATTTAAGAAGCATATTCTTCAAATGTATGCAAATATAAATTCATAAAACAAGACAAAACTATCAGGTAACCACATGGAGTCATATAGATAAGAGAAATGTATATAGGTATGCAAAAATTCATAAGAAACACGAACAAAGAAAACATCTGAAGGAGACGTTGGCCCTGTTCCTAAAGTATGGAAGTCAAGCTGTTTGGCCACAAGTCAATGTTTAGTCCTATCAACTGCATGTAAGGCAGCCTCTATACATTGCACCTAATAATGTCCATCAAAGATTCCCATGCTAAAAATTACCTTGACACAAAGTATGCAGTAAACAGATACAACAGATCAGCGACCTAAACAAATCACGGTTCTGTAACAGCCCCTGTTCCGAAGGAATAGGCCAAATCTCATAGGGTGTATGAATCCTGGGGCACACTAAATTCACACACTAAAGTGAACACATTTCTCCATCACCCTACACAGAAACCATGACTTTCTTCCTGCTGTTCCCTGGGCTTCCATCCGGCATCTTTGACCACGCTATTCCCTAGGCTTCCAGTTTCTGCTGAAAGCCATTTCTAAGGCCTACCTCAAAATCTATCTTCCCCATGAGGCTTTCTCATAACTAATTACTTCTTTCTCTGACTCCATTGTCTACTGGATTTTCCTTCTCTTTTGCACACATCAGTGACTTGTTAGCTTTTGTTTATGTGCTCATGCCCCACTCAAAGAAAGGAATAATCTTTTCACAGAAAACTGGTTTGAGCACATTTGTGCCCTCCTACTATGCAGTTTACTGTCTCACTTCAGCTAAGTGCTCAAAAAGCATTTGACTGAATGTAATATAAGGTGCTAGCATTGCTACCATCCTTTGTATCTTTGGGAAATCACTCAATATCCCAGTCTATCATCGTTTTCTCCAGTTTTAAAAAATAGCTGGCTGATGATAATAAATGAAAGCATATGTTGAAACATATTTAGCTACTGTAAAAACCCCTTTCTTTGATGTGCACTTTAAAATACTGATATTTATAACCCACAAATTAAAAAAAAATAACCTTCTAAACACACTTTCCAATGGAATGTATGTTTTCCACAGTTTCAGAGATGATAGCCAATTTGCACTCTTAACTAAATTATCCTTTCTTCTGTGACCATGAAGAAAAGTCACATTTGGGCTCTCACTGTGTTCTTTCTGAAACGACTGAACAGTCATTCTTTGGCAGTAACCTTGTCCCTATCCCATTTGTTACCTGAATCCATGACCATCTGTCATTTTCTGCAGCTGTCCAGGCATTTATAAGCCCCTTCTTATTAAGGCGAGCGTAGTAGGGATACCATTTCTGGAGTCCAAAAAGAGCTCGGTGGGTAGATGAAGCTGTGATTTGCTGATTTGATATGATTCCACCTTCAATTCCCAATGGGCCCGAGCATTCTGGGAACAAATCACACAAAAATGTGAGTGTTATTAGAAATAACCCATATTTGAAATGTGACAGTTAGATTTGATGAGACATATTTTTTAAATGATTTTGAATTGTACCATGGTGCCACTTAAGCTCCATGTACTTTACAGATGTGATGGATCACTACATAAAAGAAATATGTCTTGTTCCTCATGACACTCTTTTTTCTTTCTGAGTGTGGCATCTGAACAGACACTTCCCTTCTGCATTATGATTCTGCATTATGTACAATTATCTTTTGGTTGCTGATCATGTCAACAAAAGTGTAATGTCCTTAAAAGGCCTATCTCATATTTCATATTCCTAGGGAATAGCATGCCTCATAAATCATAAGTTCTCAATAAATATCTGTTGATCTCTTATTTCTTTTCTAGCCTTCCTCTGAGTTTGTATCAAAATCATTTTCCACTGACTTATCACTTTTCAGTACAATAAATTTAACTTAAATTTTTATAACCAGTGTCAGTTATGATTCCACAAACAAAAAACAAGGTGGAAATCTGTCAACATTTAAAAACAGTATAATAATAACTTGTGATATGTTATAAATAATAGAAGATATGTTGACACATTATTTTGATAAAGTAAGCAGGTAAACTCTCTGACATTATACACAACTGTATGTATACCAGTCAGTAAATCAAGATATTAAAATATTTATAGTTCTAATTTTTTAATTTCAAAATTCACAACTACATATTGGGATTCTGCACTTCTATTTAACTTTCTTCTCTTATTTTTCTTTAAATTTGTATCTTGAAAATTTAAGAGAAATTTCCTAATAAAAATTTAAAATACTAAGATTAAAGCATAAAATACTCAAATGATATGTTCTCAGATAACAAACTTGTTTACATTTTAAAAACAGAACTGGGAGTCAACCCATCTAAAAATTATGTATATTTATATCACATATATTTGACTTTTATAATTATTTTATAAAATTTCACCAGATCGGACATTTATTTTAAATTCAGTTTTGAAAAAAGTCATAGGTAGTATTATAAATTATAAAAAATAACATCTAGTTTTCTTAATTTCATTAACATTTCATAAACTATACTCAACTTTTGCCAAATTAGATTTGTATAATAAATATAATAATCCTATTATAAAATACACTACAATAATTTGTCAGAATTTCTGAAAATATGAAAGGACCACACTGCCATGATTAAATGCCACTCTATAGAAGTCAACTCGGTCAGCATTTGCCACCAGCATAGTTTATAGATTTTAATTACTACTGAAGTCTGGCATTTGTCTGTAATTAAATACTTACATCATTTTGAGGTTAAAAATAGGAAAGAAAGAATTCTGCAGCTGGATTATAATATTTTCAAAATTTACAAAGATGTTTCTCATTGGTGACCATTTTTTCCATTAAGCATAAATATGTCTCTTTTTCCTATCCCATGAGTGAAGAATAAATAGCTCTAAGCACATGACTAACAATTCTCCAATTGCTTAAAAGCTTTTAAACACTGTATATAAAAAGGGTAAAAATCTGTGGATAAGTTATCATCTTAATCAGATTTTATTAGTAAAATGACATTAATACACCAAAAATTGCCTTTTTAAACTAATGATTAACAAAGCATTCACTTGCTAAGTTAAATTTAGATACTAAGATCCTTTCTAAAACATGTAATTAGAGAGTTTAGCACTTCATGAAGGTGCACTATATCACTTTGAAGTCATTAAATTAAGAAGCATCCATTTTTAGAATTTCAGTATTAGGACCCACAGATAATCGCCTGATTTTCACATTCCAAAATAATTAACATTGACAACTCAAATGCCGAGTCTTTGGATTCTTGCTTTACTTTCCATTTTATAAGATGTTTACAGACTTCATAAAAGCACTAAGACTTTCATTATGACACTTTGATTTTAAAGAACTTTAGGAGGCTGATTTTTTAGGAACATTGCCATGAGAGGAGTCTCGAGTATCCCTGTCCTTGATTTGTACAGTGTTTGGGTGGGAAAATGCAGCAGGCAGGAAGGCCATGCATTGCAGGCCAGGCAGTAGAATGGCAGAGCTAGAGTGTTAGCTTTGATTAATCAAACTGCATGACAGTCTTAGAAAGAACTCTATACTGTGTACTTCTAAAAACCTTATACTGAACTGGACACCTTCACTGAATTTGTAGCAATTTAAAAAGTGATCTGACCTCAAAACACACTGTTTAATAAGTCTACTTCATCAGTACTCTTAAGCAACTAACCTCCCCTTATTAACTTACATAGCAATAAACACAATGTCTGTGAGCATTATTATATAAGCCAAACACCAATAAATAATTTAAAAAATACATTTGCATAGATATTTTTACTCTGCGATAAAGCTCCCAATCTTTGTCATGTCCTCACTAGTCATTTATTCAACCAAAATACAATTTAAAAAAAAAAAATGACATGATATATATGGCTTCACAGTTTACAAAGTATTTTCACAATAAGCTGTCTGGTGATGTCAAATATACAAATACTGTATTTCTGTACTCAGTCCTGAATTCTACATGCTTTTTAAAAAAGTATTTACAACCTTCATTTACATCCTGTACATGCCAATCAGCAAAACCCAGCAGAAGAAACCTGATGTGGTGGGGGTGGGGGCAGGGGGACGGTGTTTCTTGAATGAGGCATGAGGCCGGGAGGCATCAGCTTACTTCTTTACTGGTTAGTGCTCCTCAATTTTTTTCATTTTAAAAATCAGAGTTATGATAACACCTAATTCACCATTTGTGAGGAAATAAAAGGTAAAAGTGCTTTGCCTTTGTAACTACAAATTGTTAAAAAATAATGAGCTTGGTTCTGTAAGTTCACACGCATGTTTCTCTTTAGAGTTGAGGACACACTGGCCTTTAGCTCTGATGGAAGAGGTGCTAGGTCTTTAAACTGTTACTTCCTTAAATGCACATGGTGGCTTCTACAGAGGAAGAGCTCAATAATTATGTGTGAATATTGGTATCGGGGCCTTTTTTTCTAAACAGTAAACTAATAAGCAAATCAAAATCTCATACTTTATTTCATACTGGAAAGTTGTCAGTACAGCAAGCTTTCTCCACTAATCATCTGGACCACAACACAATGGATGTCATCATATTAAGAGGTTCAAAATCCAATTTCCTTTCGCCTGTGTTATCCACCTCCCCAGCGGACTATTAAATTCAACAGTTACGACTACTAATGAAGGCGTTGCAATTTAGAATGCAAATAATTATATACCTAAGAATAAGTGACCTTAAGTGAACAATAAGAGCCTACAAAGATAATAGGGAGCTATACATTGCTATCACCATCAAACAGAGGAGGGGAGGGTATGAAATACTACTTGATGAGAAACTTAATATTATGTGAGCATTCTCAAGTTTGAAAAGAGTATCCACATGTATTTCCTCACATAATCAAAATAATATTTTAAGGAATAAAGCTTATCCTGACTATATAATAACTGAGGAAACTTGTGAGGAGGGAAGTTAAACTCGTAAAAGGTGAGTCTGGAATTTAAGCCAAAATGCTCTGCATCATAAACAGAAAATATCAACTGATAAAGCAAAGAGTTCGGCAATTCTTCACAGGCCGATTCTGGATCTGTCTCCTCTGCTGTTATTTGATGAGAGATGTACATACACACACTAAGGAAGAAGACAGGAGAATTAACATGAAGGAAACGTAGGATATTGTTAGTGGTATTTGGGATATAACAGGCTTTTCACACATTGGGATACATTAAAAAAGTAGGTGATAGTCTATGGCAGTGAGTCACAGAAGTAAATATTGAGGTATTATAGTGTCCCTATTAACCTATTACTGTTTAATATAAATAGGCTAATTCAGTCTTGAGTAATTTAATGACCTCTTATTATATGTCCATCTATCCATCAATCCATCTTTCCCCGCATCGTCTATTCATTTATCTCAGTTTTGAAAAATACACATTTATTAAAGACCTACTATATATCGGGAACTTTTCTAGGTGGTGGCGATATGGGGATGACCAAGTCAGAAAAGGTCTCAAATCTCAAAATCATATTCTAGTGGAGAAACAAGCTATAAACAGACAAATAAATAAGGACATACCCTAAAGTGGCAAGTAATGAATAAGAGACGGTGAGGGTGTGTCAGTGATCGGTGATGGCCTTTCTGAGAAGTGACATTAAATATGATTACTGAGTGAGGGGCAGGAGTGGCACCTCTGCTGGGTTTACTGTACTGGTTTCCTCACAGAGCTTTCTGTCCAGTGAGAGAGACATACTCAGAAATAAAAACATTTTAATATAATATCTCATGGTGGGTGCACAGGATTCAATGGGAGAGTCAGGAAGGAATTGTAACCCAGCCTGGGGTTCAGGGAAGGCTGTGCTGGCAAACAGTGGGAGCCAGTACAGTGAGGGAGGGAGAGGGGCTGAGCAGCCGGGAAGCAGCCTGGCCTGATTAGGGAAGTACAGGCAGGTCAGTGTTGGAGACCAAGATGGGTTGGTGGGGAATGGTCAAGGTGGGGCGAGGAAGTAGGGAAATCTAGATTACAGTGGTACCTCAGCTTTCAAACGCTTCAGAACTGGAACCGCCTTCCGGGTCGGATCACATTCAAAAACCCAGGTTCCACTGTATTTTGCTGAAGAGCTTGCTGAGAGAACATGATTCATCCAGTGAAGGGCGTTGCTCAAGGATTCTAACTACAGCTACATTTTAATTTAATGTAGAGAATTCCTGCTATATTGTGGAGGGCAGATTTAAGAGAAGACAAAACTACTGCCAAATAGCAAGTTGCCACAATTGTCCAGGTGAAATATGATGTGGGTGTGAAAGAGATATGAGAAAGAGAAATAGTTCAAAGCTTATTTAAAAGGTAAAATTGTTTTTCAGAGCTAGTAATAATAAGATGTAGGGTGGAGGAAAGAAATGAAGTTTCTTCAGAGGTGACAGTCAGCAGAGACAGCGCTCCCTTTCATTGGGATTGGAC